AAAAGAAGCCACCCTGCCGTTCTATCGGTTGAAATAGGGTGTCTTCCTTGTGGGCTCGATTTGGTACCCAGGGACTCCAATATCCCTTAATTAACGAATCCAGAGACTCCAATATCCCTTAATTAAGGAACATACGTTAAAATTATAGTAGGCTCCCTAATAGGATTGAAGGAGTACTCCTGAATTAAAGGGTATTGGGGTCTCTGGGTACTTGTCCCCAATAGTCCAACATCCAACATCTAAGGGGCGATGGCTAACCTGACAAAATTCCAAGGGTTAGTGAGCCTTAATAAGGACTCCTAGGTATATACCCTTAATATAGCTATCAGGCTATTATATACCCATTATATAGCCCATTACAGGGTAGGGGTCCCCATGAAGGGTCCCTCCTTTTCCCCTTTGAAAAATGAAGCAGGTGACTGGCAGGTCCTACACCCCAAGATCCCGAAAGCCTAAAACCTAAATAGCTTCTGACCCTGAATCAGTCGTGTCGCGCAGGCCTGTGCCACCGTCCCTCAAACACGAGCTGTCCACATCGCACAAGAACACACAACACCCGCGAGTCCACGAAAACCCGCTGCCGAAAGCTCAGATCCGATGAACGACTCGGTGAGTTACCAAATGGACCTGACAGAGGATTTCATTTGGAAACCACGTTGCAAGGGCGAGGCGCCCACGCCCGTCGGCAGCATAGGAGACGCGTCGATGCAGTGCAAATGCAGTGCGGCCTGCAGAGAAAGGGATATGACCAGTGACGGTCCCAGCTCAAACGCACTCTAAACATGCATGCAGCTTCATTCCCATCTCACAGGCCAGCAGGAGGTAGAATCCGGACAGAATGTAGTGCAAGCGGACGCCCTGCGCGATGCAAAGAGCCACTTTCTCCCATGTGCCTCATCTAGCCTCCGTGCCGTAGACTAGCACGAACCCGGATTGGAGCACGAGGCGCGGCGGATGGCCCTGCGAGCGACTGCACGGACCCAGCGAGGCCCACACACTGCATGCCAAGGTTCTGACGCCGAAGGCAGGGTGTATGCCCCCCACGGCAACGACCTGAACAACAGCCTGCTGCAGCCGTCTGCGTGCAAAAGAGCGGCCTCGTCATCGGTTTCGATGCCCTCGTGCCAGCCACGGGAGTCCTTTCTCGGGTCCCCGAAACCTACCTCTGGCACGCCATCACGGCCTGGCGCCCTTGCCGTCGACGACGAGCACCGCCGCGGTCATGAGGCCCGCGTCGATGCGGATTGCCCTTGTCAGGCGTTCGCTGCATCAACTTGCAGAGTCATGCCAACACCGTGACCTCGCTTCGCGTAGGCGCGGATCCGGGTATCGGACGATGTGCACGTTGGCATATCCAAGCCGCCAAGGCTGACAGGCTGGGAAGGTCTAGACGGCAAGCAATCTGGTCGCATGTACACCCTTGTCGAAACAGCGCCTGCAGGAAGGCCATGTCGCCGCGGGAAGACCTGAAGCGGAAAACGTACACAAGCTGCAGCACAGGACGTCAATCGACCACTAAACACATGATGACTACAGAATGCAGGCCGAGCTCGAACACATTCTAGGTGCGACTGAGCTCGCCACGGGGTCCTGGAACCTCAACAACTAGCTTGCTGTTCCCAATGATTGAGCGTAGCGCACCACAGACGGCTGCGAACATAGAAGGCAAGATTCCAACCAAGGTATGCCAAGCATGAAACACATGCATCTGCTTCTTACTGCACTTGCATGCAAAGCGGTCTCTCTACTGAAGCCTCCATTCCAATTTTGAGTTCGAAGCGCGAGATCAAAGCGCGAAGATGCAGGATCTCTTTTAGCTCCGCATGCTATCAAATGATCCATAAAAGCTGTGGTTCGAATGCTTGACTGAAAGTTTGAGATCAACGCAAGAAATCAAAGTGCGAAGATACCGGAATTTTGTTTGGGCTCTGCACGCTAGAGAATCGACGGTCACTGCAGCGGTCTTTCTACCGAAGCGGTCTCGCTGCATGCCTCTCGTCGCAATAGCCGCGAGTTTCCGCTGCCGCTCCCCCAGTCCACGACACACACACTCGAGGCAGTCACAGTGCATGCCTGGGGCTTCGATAATTGACGGCGACAGCTCGTGGAGACTCGTCAATCAGCCTGTGTATACACTAAAGCTTGCGTCGGGCGCAGCTCCGGTTGAACCGACGAACGCGACACCCTCGTCTGTTCAAAGAAATCGTTCCAACTCACCTCGCCCCTGCAGACATGGAGATGCGGAATCGAGGCGGAAGGAATCTCTGAGTTTCGAGCACAGTCTTGTGGAGGTTCTCGGCGACGACCATCACCTGCCGCAGTTAAGACGCTGCAAGGACGACGAAGCACATCTTGCCAGCCTCAATCTCATCCGGAAACATTGCTTGAGCACATTGTCGCACGTCTTCGTCTGCGAGAGCGCCTCAAGCTCGCTCGCGACGACGAGACGACAACGGATCTACGCGAGGCTGAGAGACTGGCAAAGCGATAGAAGACATACGGCGTCTCGCCCTTCGTCTCCATCAGCTTCTCCTCGAAATCTATCGCCTGCCCCTCAAACCCAAAACCCCACATGGGGATTCCGAAAATGTGGGACTCTAACATAGTACCCTAATAGTAGGATGATCATTATAAGGACCCCAATTAAGACACCCCAAATGTTCGGAAACTCCCACGTCCTGACAACCGAAACCCCTACACTCCCAACTATACCTCACATTTGGGATCCATCGGCTAAGGGCTTAGGGTTTAAAGCTTATACCCAAACCCCAAATGTAAACTCCCAAACCCTAAACCCTAACATACGGGCTTGATGATATAAACCTTACATTACAAATAGTTTCTGGAATATACATAATTCCCAGAGTTTAGGGTCCTTAAGGTAATGCAGGATTTATATCATCAACCCTTAACCCTAAACCCTGAAACCCCTATAGATCCCTTAAAGGGGCCCTTAAGGGTACCCCTTATAGATCCCTTCAAAGGAACCCTAGGACTTATACAATCAACTCGAGGGTTGAAGAGAAAGCTCCCGGGTTCAGGGTTTACCCAGAGACTCCAATATCCCTTAATTAAGGAATACCTTGGGCTCCTTTAAAGGGATCTATAGGGTTTAGGGTTTAGGATTTGGGGGGAGTCTAATATCCCTTAAGTAAGGAACATACCTTAAAGTATACTAGGATCCCCAATATGATTTAAGGAATATTCCTTAATCAAGGCATCTTGGAGTCTCTGGGTTAAGTAGGAGTTCGAGGCTTCGGGTCTCCGGCCGAACCTCTAGACCTAACGTTGCATAGGGGTTTAGGGTTCAGGCGTTTAGGGGCTTAGGGTTTAGGGGTTTAGGGTTTAGGGGGGTTTAGGGGTTTAGGGTTTAGGGGGGTTTAGGGGGTTTTAGGGTTCAGGGGTTCAAGGGTTTAGGGGTTTAGGGGGTTTTTCGTCCAGAGACTCCAATATCCCTGAATTAAGGAATATACCTTAAACTATAGTAGGCACCCTAATAAGACTTAACGAGTATTCCTTAATTGAGGGGTATTGGAGTCTCTGCGCGGATGCTTTCTTAAAGTCCTAAAGATTTGACCTTGTCATCAGTATCTCAGTCATCAGAAACATCACAAGCAGCTCATGCGAAGCGAAACAACTTGCAAGGAATAGAAAGAAGAACCAGGGCATAATCAAATCAATCGCTGCGTCTATATATCTACCCATCCATCTATCTGTTAAATGTATTCGTTCATTTTCCTTTCCATGGACTTGTTGCAACTGACTTAAGCATGTACACTCCGAACTTGTTTGTCACCGTCTTCAGATTCGTCGGTCCAGCATAGTGGGGGCTGCAAGCCCTCTGCTGCACTTCCCCGACCTGGTTTGGGATTAGAGTTGAGGGTTTTGCATTTCAGGTTTGGGGCGCTGGACCCTAAACCCTAAACCGCAGGGTTTGGGCTGAGGGGCTTGGGGTTTATGGTTCAGTGCGGCCCTGCCTGCAGCTGGATCTGAGATCGCATAGTTTGCCGAGTCTGAGGAGGCACCGGCTGGGACAGTGGACTTCTTTTTCTTTCGTTTCTTCTTTTTGGGCGGGCGTGGGGTTTGTGGTTTGGGCTGTTGGGATGATTGGGGCTTCTGCGATGATTTGAAAGGGCCACCGCAATAAGGGACCACGATGGAGCCATGGCTGCCAGCGAACTCCCTCAAGGTGTCCAGATACCTCCACCATCACAGAGAAGAAGCCGGGGGTACTTCGAGGTAGAGAACAGAGAACCCTAAACCCTCAACCAACCCTAAACCCTAAACCAACCCTAAACCCCTGTAAACCCCAAACCCTAAACCTACCCTCCCTAAACCAACCATAAAGGGCTAAAGAGACATGGAAAAAGCGACTCTGTGCAAAACGAGGCACTGGGTCATGATCATCATCTGCACCGCCTCTTTCTCGCTCATGCCACTGTCCTTCATAAATAAGACAGTAATAAAAATAGCAAAGATAAGGATGATGATACTAGCAATGATAATGATGGTTGCTACTACGTAGTATATACTTAGTATATATGGTTAGAATTACGACTATTGTATTCATATCTTATTAGGAGCACCTTCATGAACTTCATGGAGTCTTGGAACCCCCGCGCCATGGCTGCACGCATGTTGGCCATGCCCACGCCGGCCAGGCGCTTGGCTTCGGCATCAGCTTCTGAGGCCTCCACCCGTTTCGTGTTCAGGTTTGTAGGCGCCTTAATAATTAGAAGAGGGTTTTGGGGCCCATCATACTATAGCTAGCATAAGGAACCCTAGGTAATTATTAAAGCCCCTACAGTATGCGGCTTAAGGACCTCCCGGCGAGCCACCCTTGGGTTCTGTAACAACCCTTAGCCTTAATACTTTCCTAGTCCTTCAACCCTGAAACATAAACTTTACACTCCACCATCCCTCGACCCCCAAGCCCGTGACATGGGAGGCCAATTTGTAGGATCCTTGATATGGGTAGTTGTCAAAATGAGGGTCCCTTTTATTGGGTCCTTATTATAATACGGCACCTATCATTTAGGGTACCCAAAAAGGGATCCTAATTCCCCAAAAAACTCCAGAGATCTAGCTGTTGTAGAAGCCCATCCCCAAGCCGCGCTGAGAAACCCTATTCAGCCCGGGTTTAAGTTTAGAGCCTTACGCTAAACCCTCGACCCTAAACCCCAAACCCTCAACCCTAAACCCTAAACCCCAAAACCCAAAACCCTAAACCCTACGCCCTAAACCCTGAACCCTAAACCCTAAACACTAAGCCCTAAACCCCTAACCCCCTAAACCCTACACCCTACGCCCTTAAACCCTAAACCCTCAACCCTAAACCCTCAAAGAGCCCTGGTATAGCAACGGCTCTGGGCCTTAGTAAGTAAGGTTATAAGTAGGCTATACTTAGGATAACCCCACTTAGGGGACTTATAACCCCACTTATAACCTACTTACTAAGTCCCATGATCCTCCAAAACCCCTATAGATCCCTTGAAGGAGCCCCTTAAAGGTACCCCTTATAGATCCCTTTAAAGGAGCCCCAGGATTTATATCATCAAATCTGCAGCTCCTTAAAGAGCCCAACCTCTAAGTATAACCTAAACTACCCCTTATAGAACCTGTATATTATAGATCCCTGAACCCTAAACCCTTTAAGGAGCCCTTTAAGGAACTCTAAGTCACTAAACCCTAAACCTAGACCCAAGAGTAACCCAGGCAAAAAAAGGATGCCCTTTTTGGTTTAAAGGGGCTTATAAGGGAACCTGAACCCTAAAAAAGGGAATAAGGGCCTACTCTGGGTCCTAGCTAAACCCTAAACCCTAAACCCTAAACCCTAAACCCCCCAAACCCTAAACCCTAAACCCTAAACCCTAAACCCTAAACCCTAAACCCTAAACCCTAAACCCTAAACCCTAAACCCTAAACCCTAGTGGAGCAACGGCTCTGGGCCTCGATCCTCAAGAGCTTCTCGGCCTCGCCCTTCTCAAACGCGGCCTCACCTGGGAGTTTCCGAAAATTCGGGGGGGGGTACCTTTAAAGGGATCCTGTAAGGGCTCCTTAACAGGATCTATAAGGGTTCTATAAAGGGTTTAGGGTTTAGGGCTTCCGAAAATTTGGGGCAACTTTAATTCGGGGCCCTTCTAATAAGGATCCTACTATTTAGGGTACTGTATTAGGGTCCCCTATGTTTGGAAACTAACACCCGAAGCTTAGAGTGTACCAGAGACTCCAATATCCCTTAATCAAGGACAGTTCCTTGAACCATCTCAGGGGTCCTACTATATATTCAGGTATATTCCTCAATTAAGGGATTTTGGGTAGGCTCGGGGCCAGGGATTATGCGGATTATCGGCATAAGTTTGCGGCTGGGAGTCTTTAAGTAACCAATCTTACGCTACGAGTGCGGAAGCAATGTCTCAATTTTACAGATAGCGACTATGAACTATATCAAGTTACTCTGAACCCTAAGCCCTGGATGTAGCTAAGTCACGCCGTCTTCTGGAGGCATTGATTTCGTTCATGGCGTCGAGGACAGACTTTTCGGGACGGATATCAGTGATAAGGACGTTAAGGATGTCATAGCCGTATTGGCCCATGGCTTTCCTTACGGACACCAACATGCCTCCCACCATCCTCTCCTTGGCTTCGTAGCTCTCGTCGAGGGTCCTTTTTTGGGCAGGGTTGGCATCGTATGAAACATGAAAACAGATTTATTCCCACCTTTGGTTTAAGTACCCATCAACATGTAACATGTTACCCAACTACGACTGAGGGTCATGATGGGCATGGTGGACCTCAAGACGTTGTCCACTTCGGCTCTGATCTGATCGAGCGGGCTGGCGATGTCGAATGTTGCCACCTGAGGGCGTGTGAAAACCCCCCGCTAATTTGCTTGACCCTCAATTCGGTTTTCGTTTCTTCTTACTCTTATCATTTTACAGGACTTTGGATGACTTTGGGACCGCATGATGTAGCATATCTTCGTTACCTTTGTTACTCTTATCGTCTTGCAAGGAATTCGAGTGGACTCAACTTACGGACGCATCTGCTTGAAAAAGGCTCTCTTGTTCTTAATCCCTCACCTTCACCATGTCTTTGAGGATTCGGTACTGCACGGCAGTCACCACCAGGACCGTGACATTGTCCTTCGTCTTGCACTCCGACTTGCAGGTGAGTTGGTTCACGGCCAGCGAGACAGACTGGACGGTCGCGCATGGGAAACAGATGCAGCTGAGACCCGGCTCCTGCCAGCCCTGGTATTCTCCGAGAAACTGACGCACACCGACGGACCCAGTTGGAATGCTAGAAAGGCAGCAGCAAGTCCAGGCGTCGATATTCAACGCCATGCTTTGGGCCTAGTGCTGCACCAGCCATGTGCAGGAAGTGAACCACTGGAGAAGCAGATGGGGGTTATGTTACTTTGACGAAGACTTGATATAAGGAACTAGATGTTATGCATGCAATGTAATGCCTGTAATGTAGGGACCTATGCTACTCCCTGGTTCCGTGGACACCCTGCACCCTCAAAAGGTTTAGGGTTGAGGCTGCTCCAGCCCTACTTGTCAAACGGTGCTCTTCCGTCTTGAGCCACAGCCCGAACCTTGATCTGACTGCGAAAGACCAACGAACAGCTATGCCGCGCTGCAAAGGTGTCGCACGGATAGTTGAGGAACGTGGTTATAAACCGTTCTATGTATAGGTAGAACAATTAGTGCCGAATTATTAGTCCCTGATGACGGACAGACAGACGGACAGACATGTGTGTACTCATATGTACAGTCACAGACTCGGCTAAGGCACTTGTCTCCCTACGCAGCCGGTATGAGTTTCAGACACGCAAGAACCCCGTCATCAATGCTGCGACGCTGTGCTTTGATGTTTTAGAGCCAACTCAACACCAGAATGTCTGTTCTGAGAGCTGCAAGAGACAAGGCTGTCTGTTCTAACGCTAAACCCGAAACTGAATGCAAGCATGTGTCAAACAGACTTTCTGCCTGTGCAGATGTCGGCTGAACTATGAAGCCCTGGAAGTATTGGGGCTCAGGGGAAGTTTAGACCCTAAGCCCTAAGGACTTCAGGGCTTGGACGCTGCCGTAAGGTACCGCGTCGCTCCATGTGTCAAGGTCAGGCATGGCGGGTCAGAGCTTTATTTGGGGACTCTCAAGGTGGTTTGGGAGAAGATGGCGGCCGATGTCTTGACGAAGCCAGCCCACATAGCCTAAGCCTAAGCCTCATAGGCCTCAAAAGAGGAAACCCAAGCAACAACACTCAAAACCTGAACCCATAAGCTTTTGCAGAACTTCAAAAACACATCTAACACCTGGTTATTCAAGAACCCTCGTACGTGCCTCAAGCCCGAAATTGCTAGACAAAGCCCTGAACCATGCAAATCCAAAACCCTAAACTATTCAGGGTTAAGGTAAATCCTAAACGCCCTAAACCCGAAAAGCCCTAACCCCTAAACCCTAAGCCTCAACCCTTAAAAATCTTAAAACAAGGCAAGACCCCGAGACCCCAAAAAATGTTAAGGTAAACCCCCAACACACCCAAAGATGTCGCCTAAACCCTAAACCCCTAGAAACCCCTAAACACCCCCTAAGCCCTCAATCCTAAACCCTAAACCCCTAAACCCAAAACCCACCCCCAACACACCCAAAGATGTCGCCGAGTTTTCGTCACGCTCTTCCCAGCTTTAGGCCGCTTTTGGGATCCACCTCGTGGCGAAAGCATGTCGTTTCATTTAGGGCTAGACCTAGGAGTAACTTAGTAATAAAAAGGCTGCCCTTTTTGGGTTAAAGGGTGCTATAAGGGAACCTAAACCCTCAAAAAGGGAATAAGGGCCTACTATGGGTCCATGTCGTTTCATTTAGGGCTGAGGGTTTAGGGCTTTCAGGGTTTAGGGTATTAAGGTTTAGGGTGTAGGGTTGAGGGTTTACGGTTTTAGGGTTGAGGGTTTAGGGCGATTTTAGGGTTCAGGGTTTAGCTTAAGTGGTGAACCCTGAAACCCAGAGCTCAGCACGGGTTAGGGTTTGAGAGCATCGAAACTTCGAGCCGCCCAGTAGAATCCGAGTCAATTCTCTTACTAGCTATAGGCGGCTAAGGAAGCTGCAACTTTGCTACAGATCAGATGATCAAGTCGCAATACCCAACAGCTTGTGACCATTGACTAAGCAAGAACTTCCTGCCGACAGTTCTGCTTGCGCGTGTGGTTTGTCCTCTTTGTAACAAACCCTCAACCCTGCGACCCAACACCTTCTCGTCGCAGATGCTAAGCCCAAAATCCGTACTGCCGAAACCGAAACCTTGGATTTCAGATGTCGCCTTCGCCAGAGATATTTGTTTTTGCGTAGTTGGATCCGGGCGTGGTGATTGTGGGCTGTGGATATGATTTTTGGACTTCCTCGGTGTCCTCCTAGTAGAAGCGATCATGAAGGCACTCTTCAATTTGAATTCGATCTAGGATCAGCAGGGCTAGAGAAGGAACATAAATCAACAAGATGCTTTATTGACTGCGGTTATTGTTGGATCATTACTTAGGTCCTCCGAAAGCGTCGAAGGCTTTTCTGCAAAAAAAACACTAAACGCTACACTCCCCCCTAACTCCTAAATTGCAGCTGCAGGTCCTCAGTCAACATCGACATTGCGACATTTTACATGCTCTCCAGGTTCTACAGTAAGGTATCACACGACATTGCTAAGGACATATGGGGGAGGGTTGTTGGCTTTAGAGATTTAGGATTCAGTAGCAGAGCTATCTATCTATCGATCTCTCTAACAAGCTATACCTACATACATACATACATACATCCATACATACATGCGTACGTACATAACATATGTGCATACGCACATACATACATACGTACATGAACACATACATCCATGCATGCATACATACACACCTACATGCGTACGTACGTACATTGGTACATGCGTGCACACGTATATATATATGCTACCCCCCCCCCCGACGTACCTACCTATTTGGTGTGTTTGTCTCCATGTGTTGAACACTTCGACGTATTACAAAGACTCTGTGAGCCAGATACAACAGCTATTGATGTGTAAACAATCTTCTTTTGACATGGTGCAACTGTCACACATGGGCCACTGAAGTAGGCCCACTACGATAATAATATGATTACAGTCATTCACTTATTAACTGTATCACCATAGTCTTCGCAACACCATGCAGCTATTGTTATCAATTGGTGTTACTAAAAGAAGTTGCCCTTCCATCTATATATGCTGGTTGTTGACAAAAAATGATTTAACGCGCAACCTCTAACCAACTGAACTAGTGTTATTTCAACGATTATGAATTAATCTCCATAGTCTTTTACTCTTCTAGGCATAACATTAGTAGCCACTTAGATGTAATGGTGTAGACGGTAACATAATACCACTGGAACACAACTACCATGAATAACCTAGATAACTTAACTTGCTACAACTACTAAACATAGCTAACCTAAACCATTCATACCACTAGCTGTTAACCTACTGTTAGTAAGTCATGTTGATCCTGTTATCAACCATACTTCATCTGACTGTACATATAATAGACTGAACAGAATAGCAATGACTGTACCTAATGATAAGACACAAGGAAAGCGTGCAACAACATGATAAGAGTCATGTAAATCTATGTCAGCATTTCTTATTTAGCCAAGTACAATTCCAGTTGGACCACCTACTATATACAGTTTATATGAAAGATCTACTATACCAGAGAGCATTAGCTGTGAACTAGTATCAGTAATTATGCATTAGGTATTCAGATATAGAGAACACCAACTAAAAGATCTTAACGAACCAGTTGGTACTCATATTATCAATTTACTAAGTTGTAAAGTTAGCTCTTGTATCACTATTCCATACTATTTGTAAATATATGATGTGGCCAAACTAAACTTTGCTAATAGACAAATACAACTCATAGCTAAGATCATAAATAAGGTAACCAAGACGTGTAATATGCCAATTACTGTCAAACTATTGAATACCAACTGGTCCAAAGAACCCAACAAATGTTGGTAGAGTATAGGATCACCTCCAAAGTATGGTTCATAGAATATTGTATTACCGTGTATACCTGTTAATAACATTAGCAAAGCTCCTGTCAATATTGGTAGCCTATTAACAAAATATATGATGTAATCCCAACTGATCTGGTTATATGTTGATAAAGTAACTAAACGTAAACCTAATAATCTCATAATATGACAACTAACACAGAAGTTATAAAGATGTTAATGTTGATGATAGACCTGATGTAATGAAACTGTAGCTAGTAAGACTGGTACCATAAGTTGCAAATGAGATTAATGAAGTACTAATAATACAAACCATTCCTCTTATGATTACAGGATATTTATGGCTATCAACTATGTGCTAACTGTTATCATCCTACTAAGTACGTTTGTTGCTACTCATTCCATTTCATACCATTACAGTCTATCAACATCTGGGGGCTATGGGGCCCTGGGACTACAGGTGCCTACCTCACATAGCAGGTGTTTCAACGCATAAGACTTAGCCTGGCCATCTTGAGACGTCTTCTGGCACTCAGGATATTGACGACTGATTAAAGCCTTGATCTTCAATCCTCACAACTAGAATGTGTGCCACTTTTATTGTTTTTTTCCAGTTCCAATGCTTTGGACTCCTGTGTGCCATTTTTATTGGTTTTTCCACTGTTTCCGAGTTTCAGAAGCCGAAAACATTGGAAAAACCAATAAAAACCATAAAAACCATGATTTGCAATCTATGTCCAGGCGCGACACCACTTCCCGGGCGATAGTTTGAAAATCATGGTTTTTTATGGTTTTTATTGGTTTTTCCAATGTTTCGGACTCCTTGTGTGCCACTTTTATTGGTTTTTCCAATGTTTCCGAGTTTCAGAAACCGAAAACATTGGAAAAACCAATAAAAACCATAAAAACCATGATTTTCAATCTATGTCCAGGCGCGACACCACTTCTCGGGCGATAGTTTGAAAATCATGGTTTTTATGGTTTTTATTGGTTTTTCCAATGTTTTGAGCTCCTTGTATGCGTTTTTATTGGTTTTTCCAATGTTTCGGACTCCTTGTGTGCCACTTTTATTGGTTTTTCCAATGTTTCCGAGTTCCAGAAACCGAAAACATTGGAAAAACCAATAAAAACCATAAAAACCATGATTTTCAATCTATGTCCAGGCGCGACACCACTTCCCGGGCGATAGTTTGAAAATCATGGTTTTTATGGTTTTTATTGGTTTTTCCAATGTTTTGAGCTCCTTGTATGCGTTTTTATTGGTTTTTCCAATGTTTTGGATTCCCTGTGTGCCATTTTTATTTTTTTTT